AGCCAGCTAATACATGAAGAGATGCTCATGATCATTGGCCATCAGAGAGATGGAAATCAAAACAACAATGAGATTTCATCTCACCCCAGCACTGATGGCAAGGTTCAACAAGATAGCAAAGAACAAATGGTGGTGGGGATGTGGAGAGACTGGGACACTCATACACTGCTGGTGGGACTATGAAGTGATACAACCACTGTGGAGAGCAATATGGCGATTCCTTAGAAAGTTGGAATTGGAGATACCATTTAACCCAGCAATCCCATTACTAGGTATATATCCTAGAGAGGTGAGAGCCAGTATAGGAAAAGATATATGCACATTCATGTTCATCGCAGCATTATTTACACCTTGCCATCAGTGCTGGGGTGAGACGGTATCTCATTGTTGTTTTTATTTGCATGTCTCTTGTAGTTGTCTTGACTTCCCTACCATTTAGAAGTTCTGTAACAACACAGTTTTTTCCCTCTTTTTGGTTTGTTGTTGTCAATTGCCTCATTTGTCAATTGATGTCTCTGGTTCTCTGCTTACAATCTTTAGGCTTATTAACTTTGGATACTTGTTTAACTGGGAGCTCTAGTAGCATAGTGCCTAAGGCACTTGACTGCTCACCAGAAGGCTGGTGGTTCAAACCCACCAGCCACTCCTTGGAAGGAAGGTTGGGCAATCCTACTTCCATAGTGATACTGCCTCGGAAACCCAAGGAAGGGTTGCTATGAATTGGGGCTGACTCGACGGCAAACAACAACAACAACAACCACCACTTGTATAACTGGGTTAGTTTCTGGGTTTTGTCAGCATGTGTGTTAATGGTCAGTTGTTGTTTGCTGTTGTTGGTTCCAACTTTTTAAGGAATCACCATACTGTATGTTGATCTTATATCCTGCTACTGTGCCAAATCTTTCAATTAGTTCCAGTAGCTTTCTTGCTCAGTCTCTTGGGTTTTCTAGGTCTTCCTCTTTTTTTGCTGACCCTCTACTTTATCAAGCATGATGTCCTTCCCCAGGGACTGGTCCCTCCAGACAATATGTCCAAAGTATATGAGACAAAGTCTTGCCATACTCACTTCTAAGGAGTATACTTCTTCCAAGACACAGTCTATTTAATATTCATCGCCAACACCATAATTCAAAGGCATCAATTTTTCTTTGGTCTTCCTTATTCATTTTCTAACTGTCATATGCATATGAGGCAACTGAAGATATTATGGCTTGGGTCAGGCACACCTTAGCTTTCAAAGTGACATTTTTTATTTTTAATACTTCAAAGAGATCTTTTGGAGGAGATTTGCCCAATGCAATACATCGTTTGATTTCTTGACTGATGCTTCCATGGGCCTTGATTGTGGATCCAAGTAAAATGAAATCCTTGACAGCTTCAATCTTGTCTCCATTTATCATGATGTCGCTAATTGGTCCAGTTGTGAGGATTTTTATTTTATGTTCAGGTGTAATCTACACTGAAGGCTGTAGTTTTTGATCTTCATCAGTAAATGCTTCAAGTCTTCTTTGCTTTCAGCAAGGAAAGTTGTGTCATCTGCATATCACAGATTGTAAATCAGTCTTCCTCCAATCCTGATGCCACCAATCTTGATGATGTGTTCTTCTTCATACAGTCTAGCTTCTTGATTATTTGCTCAGAATACAGATTGAGTAAGTATGGTGAAAGGATACAACCCTCACACACACATTTCTTGATTTTAAACCATGCAGCATACCCTTGTTTGGTTTGAACAACTGCCTCTTGTTCAATATACAGGTTTCTCATTAACACAACTAAGTGTTCTCAAATTCTCATTCTCTGTAATGTTATCCATAATTTGTTATGATCCACAGAATTGAATGCATTTGCTAGTCAATAAAACACAGGTAAACATCTGGTATTCTCTACTTTCCACCAAATTCTATCTGATATCAGCAATGATATCTGTATTCCCACATCCTCTTCTGAATCTGGCTTGAATCATAACTACTTACTCTACTGCATATACTTTAGAGAAAATTAGGGGTACACTGGAAAATATTGATTCTACTCATTTGCCTTCCCAGTATGCTTGCTTCAGAGGAAGTATAACACTAGTGACTGTTGGCACCCTCAGGAACTGCACATCACCAAATGCCTGTATCACCTATTTTATGTGGATGTTTATAAACAGAATGTTTCTCTGGAACTGAGTTAAACATCCAGTCATCACCATTATATGTGGCATGCCAGAACAACAACACAAAAGTGATGCCACTTACTGCACACAAGGAAACACTACCAATAATTGAGGACTCTCAAGGCTCTACAACGATTTTTGCATTTTTACAAGTAGGAAAATAAGCATATAGTTAGTGTGTTGTTTTCTTGTTTATTATTATTATGATGTCAGATTAAGCTTCTGATTACCAAACACAAAAACAAAAAATTATCCATGGGAACACAATTCTCAAGACTTCTGACTTTGTTAGTTTTCTAGAACAGGGCTTAAAGTTTCACATCAAGCTTGGGAGTGGGGGAAAGCAGTTTTTAAAAATGAATAATCCCACAGGAAAAGTGTTTAAAATTCAGGAAATTAATTCAATATTTACTGAATATCTACTCTGTGCTGTTACCGTTACATAACAAGCCAAGGGACACAGTAGTGAACAAGACAGACAATAATTGCTGCCTTCGGGAAGTGCTTTCTAGTGGTGAAGGTGGCCTGCCCATAGGGGCACATGTGGTTTTGATATGAAGCCACCTGGGATTCAGCTACTTGTGTCTTAGCCCATGAGCTCAGCACAGCAGGAAGCATGTGGTGAGAAGCAGACAGCCATCAGGCATTGGTACTGTTGTATCATGAATAAGACCGTGCATAAAGATCTTCAAGTACAGAAGGAAAACAGCTTTTGCTTCATTCTTGGGAATAAACCCTACTCTTAAACTGGTTGTCAGGGAGCTCTGGTAGCAGAGTGGCTAAGGCACTTGACTGCTAACCAGAAGGCTGGCGGTTCAAACCCACCAGCCACTCCTCGGAAGGAAGGTTGGGCAATCCTACTTCCGTAGTGATACTGCCTCGGAAACCCAAGGAGGGGTCGCTATGAGTCAGGGCTGACTCGATGGCACATAACAACAACAACAACAACAAACTGGTTGTCATACGACCAGCAAGACCTTCTCAAATTCATCTGTGTTTCTCACTTGGCTGAGGTATAAAGCTGGCTTGGTCAGATCAGAGTCATGAGGGATCTCATGACAGAAAAAAAGATGTTCACTGTGTTTATACTGTACCAACTATAGAAAGTTTGGGTCAAGAGATTTTGAGTAATAACGTAGGCTCGTGGGATTTCTAAATAAAATTGTCTGTAATTAAACACATTTTATAACTTTTTTGTATTTTATGTTTTGGTATTGTTGCGAATATACACACCAAAACATACAACAATGCAATTGTTTCTTAATTTACAATTCAGTGACATTGATTACATTCTTCAAGTTGTGCAACTTGTGGTAGTTAAGGCTGTGTGTCAGCTTGGCTGGGCCTGGATTTGAGTGGCTGGGCAGCTGGATGCAGTAATTCTCCATGATGAGATTGGTAATCAACTCCATGGTGATATCTACTAGAGCAGCTGAGTAGCTGCTTTAGGGATGTGGTCTGCTTCCAGTGTATAAAAAACAGCTTTAAGAAAGGTCTCAGCAATGGTGCCTGGCTACCACTGTCAACCACTCAGAGGGGGATCTATGTAGGAGGTCCTGGATAGAGTGGGAGAACAATGTGAGACAACACTCAGAATCATTTGGAAAAAGAAGGGGGGGGTTTTTACCAAGTTTGCTGGTCTTATAGAGCCTGGTGGAACCACTGAAACTATGGCCCCTAGCTGCCCTTCAGGTCTGGTATTGAACCCATACCTGTAGCTTCCAGCCAAACAAAAGATAGGCATATGAGGTGAACGTTTGCACTAGGTAGATACACTCCTTGGAGAGGACATAATGGAAGAACAGAAGGGCTGTGTATGCACAGGGACTTAGCTCAGGGGGCAGGAGTGCTTGGAGGGAAGGATACAAGGAAGAATTAACTATGGGGAAGAAGTGGGAAGGGAGCTGTTGCACTGTGGGAGATTGTAGTCAATGTCATGAGACAAAGTGTATGTGAGCTGCTGTATGGAAAGTGAATTTGCTCTGTAAACTTTCATCCAGATCACAGTAATAAAAAAAAAAAAAAAGAAAAAGAAAGGTCTCAGCAG